ATGTAGAAACTTGTATAAGAATTGCTTAGCATAAGAAGACATAGAGGCACTAAGGTTTACCTCATAAGAGGGAGCATCTATACTGATAAAATAACCGATCCATGAAAACATCAAGGAATAACCTGCCCCAGTTCTAGACACACAGACGATGCTCAACACTGGCCCACTGATCTTCTGTGGACGTAGGGGCAATTTCTTTCTTGCCATCATATCCTACTGTTTTTAAGCCTTTAGCTGACATGGAAGTGGGGATGGTGATGAAAGAAAATAATGAGACTACTTCCCTTCCTGTCCCCATTTGTTAACTTCAGTGTGTTCACTGAATCACACAACAGAATCACATCACCCTTTCATACTATGGGAAGTTTTTTTTTAGTTTTTTTTATTTCCTAAGTTGATTTAATGTGCTGCAAAATTGTACTTCCTCATCTTTTAAAAATGAAATAAAGATTTATTACTGGAATTTGCATGTTGAAAATGTCAAAATATATCACTTAAAAATAACTTTTAGGTAAATAAGACAATATTACATTTAATTATTTCTTCTACAAAGTTTCCAGAAGTATTTTTCTTTATGCTGTGAATGATGTAAAATAATAGTTGATATTTATTTAACACTATGTAATTTGTAAAGTACTTTTAAAATTTTATTTCATTTGACTCACAACAAAACTGCTAGTAAGTAGCATAGATATTTTCATTTCCATTTTCAAATCAGGAAATTGAGACAGATAAAATGATTTGTCCATGCTAATATAGCTACTGAATGTCCAAGGCATGATTTAAACTCCTCTCTCTCCAAACCAGAGATTCTTCTTATTTATTTATTTATTTTCAATTATTGTGGACCCATTTGGCTAGTGAAGTCTAGTGAAGCCCAATACCACTGTGTTTTGTCACATATATTGATACTTGAAAGTAGTATTAAATTTCAAAGAGGGGATAATGAAAATAAAGATATATTCCCTCCCCCCTCCCATCTATTAGCGGTAGGCCTGTCAGTACCCTATTAGTTCAAGTGTGATTTTGGGATGAAATGGGACACTTGTCTGTTGCAGAACAGTTAACAAAAGGAGATTTACTTAGCCATAACATAGAAAAGATATTCAACAAGGATACAATGGTACCTAGCTACTCGAGATCTAGCTCCCCTCATCTCTGTATGGAAATGGATGTTTGGCAGGGCAGCCTATGATGATTTATAGTCTTTAAGTGTCCACCAAGTTGGTGGGGTCCTGACTGTATGTGGATGGGACTTTTTAAGGCCCCTCGGTAATTAAGAAGCTACTTCAAGGGAGACAAACGTCAGTCAGGACCTGGGGGCATTTTGATCACCTTTTTAGGAAAACTAATCCCCTACTGGGGAGGGGAACAGAGAGCTCATACATCCCAGCTAAAGAACCCTCACACTCAGCCTAGGGCATTTTGCATTATTCCATATTGTATTTCAATCGATTATAAATTATTAATATCTTTTGAGCCTAATAGGGGGTCAAGGTTGGTAATGATTTTTTTTTAATTTCTGAAATTAAAAAGAATTTTTTACATTTCACCCTCAATTGAAAAGGAAAAAGAAAAACAAAACCCTTATGAACAAATGCAAATCATCTAGTAAAACAAATTTCCACATTGGCCATGTTAAAAAATATTATGTCTCATTCTGTATCTTCTGTCAACTTTGTGTCAGGAAGTGAGCAGTGTGCTTCTCTAGAATCATGGTTGGCTATTGAATTGATGAGAATACTTACGTTTTTCAAAGTTGTTTGCCTTTACAATGTTGTTATTATAGAAACTGTTTTACTAGTTCTTCTCATTTCAATTTGCAACAATTCATGTATCTTCCCAGGACCCTCTCACATCATCTCTTTCATCATTTCTTATAGACAAATAGTATTCCGGTACATGAATATACAATTTTTTGTGAGCCATTCCACAACTGATTGGCACCTTCCTAGTTTCTGTTTCTTCACCACTACAACAAGAGCTGCTGTAAGAATTTTTGCCTTCTTTTGTAACAGAGAGGGGAGATTTCCCCCTTTGTTTTTACTACTTTGTGGTATGGACATGGTAATGGCATTGTTTGTTCAAAGGGTATGCATAGTTTTGTGACTTTTTGGGCATAGTTCCAAAGTTTTTTCCAAGTGGCTGGACAAATTCACAGATCCACCAACAGTGCATTATTGCACGTTCTCTGCTCCCCACCCCCCAACAACACTTGACATTTTCCCTTTTTGTAGATTTTGCTAAGCTTATGGTTGTGAGGTAGAACCTCGGCATTGTCTCAATTTGCATTTCTCTACTTAATAATTTGAAGAATTTTTTTCATACGGCTATAGATAGCATGGATATTTTCCCTTCAGAACTGTTTGTTCATATTATTTGACTGTTTATCAGATAAAGAAAGGGGCAAAAAATAGCCCCTACTCTCAAGGAGCTTATAATCTTTTTTTGTTTTTAATGATGTGGCCTTTTTTTTAATCTGTATCTATTTGGAGCTTATCTTGGTATATGGTATGAGGTATTAGTCTAAACCTAATTATGCTAAACTGCTTTCCAGTTTTCTAGACTTTTTTTTTGTCAGATAATGAATTTTTACCTTAGTAGTGGGGTCTTTGGGTTTATTGGACTGATAAGCCTAGATAAAACAGGGGTATGCTCTCCCCTAAATACACACTAATATCAGAGGAAAAATTGGCAAATGTTGGGAATATGTGTGAAGAGATACACATACAATGTGGCCAGAGTTAAAGTGTGGAGAGGTACATATGTAGGGAACATGAATAGCCAGAGCACACACTTAGAGGGTTGCTCACATGGGAACAGGCACACATATGGAGGGATAACTAATGCTTCCAATGGTTTTTTACAGATGCTTATGTATTCTGGTGATGTCATCATGTTGCTCACACCGGTCCTGTTCTCTGGTGATCTTGTAGTCTGTGTTTAACGTGCTCTTGTGGACAATGCTGCTCTGCTGAATGCTGTCCACTAACTGTGGTGGCTCTGTTTTCAGGCTCGGCTATCTCTCCCTCAAGTGAAGAGCAGTAGCAGTCATGCTCTCTTAATGTAAAAATCATAGGCTTTTTTTTTTTTTGTCTGTGACTCTTAGAAAAAATGCAGACTCTTGCTTGGGATCAGGAAAATTTTTTCCCCTTGTTGTCTCCTGATCTTGTTTCCTCAGAAGAGAATTTTGTCTTTGAAGTCTTGTATCTTTCCAGTAGGATATTCTTAGTCTCAGATGGCAAGCTTTTTAGAACAAGAGTAGAGTCCTCCCAGCTACCTAACGCCCTTGTGTTTAATCTTTTTTTTTTTTAACTTCTCTTCCCTATCTAAGGGCTTGAGTTCCGCTGTCGGAGATCCCACCCTTCCTTGTTGCAAGCATTCCGTATGCCTCTGAACTTTAATTTCTGAAGGTTTAGATTCTAAGTGAGGTGACAATTATATTGTCAATAGCTATCATTCAGCTCTGGGTTTCCCAGTCTCCCAACAATGAAGTTTTTCCTCTTCTCTCATGTAGATGAATGGTTGGGAGAAAAGGCACAAGATGAGCTAAACTTTAGGGGTATTTTCTTGTTTAACTCAATTCCTGACTCACTCATATGCAGATACATTCAGTCCAATGTAGAGAAAGATAGACTTCTCAACAATTAGAGCTTTCTAACTCAGAATGGGTTTCCTTGAAAAGCTGTAAGCATTCCATCACCGGATATATTAAAGTGAAAGCTGGATGACTACTGCTCATTAATGTAATAGAGGCCATTCCTATTAAGGTATAGGTTGGACAAGTTGACTTCCAAGATCTTTCAACTCTGAAATTCTATCATTTTATAATATAAGTTTTATTCTTTCCTTGTTCACAGTATAGATGGATAACATTAATAATGAAGCCGAGCAAATTCTCATGATGCTTTTTTTTTTAGGCCAAGTTTTTAAGGGCAAAAAGATTTAGTCCTTCCTCCTTTTCCCCACCTAGAAAACAACAGGGTGGGTAGATCATTGGATAAAATGTCCAATTATTCCCTAGAGAAATACAGTTCTGCTGCTAAGGAGGTTAATAGTTTTGTGATATTCTGGATATGGAAGATAACATCCTTCACTTCTTTGCCACTTTTGCCTCTATCAGGAATTCTTAAATAGTGATAACAGCAAGGTCATAAAGATAGCGGGTGGTGAATCTGGAATTTACACTCAGGTCCTCTGACTCCAAATCCAGCACTCTTTTTACCGTACTTTATTGTCTGCAAAGTGTTGCAGAATTGCAACATCAATTAACAGAAAAACTCCAAACAAAACAGGACATTCAAGGGAGAACATGAGTAGTCAAGTTCGGCTAGAGAGAAAAGTAAATAGAGAGGAATAACATGAAGTGCAGAGTGGGAGCTGCCAGATTGTTGAGGCGCTAAAATGTCGTGTTAAGGAGCCTGAGTTTTATTTTTCAAGCAAGAAACTTTGCTAATTTCTGCACTGAGGACTACACGCTTTTGGTACCAAGTGCACCCTCATTTTATTTTGGTGCAGATTCATGTTTCATTGGCATGGGCAATACCAGTATGGAAACTCCTTTCACTGATATAAAAATGCAGATGGGCGGCTTGTTTGCCATTTACAGTCTTATAGAGTTGTTTCTGTAAAAGCACCGAAAAATTGACTAGTACATAAGAATACCACCAGTATTTGTAAGAGTCAAGATTTGAACTCAGCTTTTCCTGACCCCAGGGCCACCCATCTATGCATTACGCCATATTATCTTTTTATTTATTGTTATACTATACCACTCCCTTGTGCATGGGCAAATTGGAACTGATTACTAGAGGAGGACATCTCTTTTATTTGCTAGCAGGTTTATCAAAATGACAGAATCGTTAATTTTATTTCAATGAATAACTCAGAAACTATGCCAGTTGAATTCAACACGTCTATTGTGTACAAAGCACTGTGCTAGGCACTGAATACTGATCTGAAAATACCCTAACATATTTTCCTTGCTATTTTTTTTTCAGAGTAAAGCAACTTGAACTTCCAATTTAAAGCAATTATTTAGCTCTGACCTGGCTGAACTCTATGACCTGTTGGAGATCTTAGCAATCTGTTTGTAATGAAGAGCGTTACTGCTTTTGAGTTGTTTAGAATTTCAAAAAGGAAATTTTTCAGCTCGTCCTCAGAACATTCAGAACTTTGCTCCTCAGAAGCAAAGCTAGGAGCTCATTAACATGAATATAGTCTAATTTATTAAAATGATTCAGAAAATTGTTGGGTTTCTTCTATTTTATTTTTATGAATTCAGCTTGAAAGTGGCTCATGAAGACCCTTGTTCAGCAGGAAACATTGGGTCCTGTTTGATCTATCAGAACACTGATTGCTTCACTGGCTTTGTTCTTCTCCACCCCCCCCCCCCAAGGGATGGCATCTTAGCTGAAGAAATGCAACTGATGGGAATAAAGGATCACAGGACAGCAAATTTTAGCCCTCTTTTCTATTGTTTCTATACTTGTTCACAAAATAAGCCTTAATTTGTCAATCTCTGAACATTAGAAGGGGAAGTTAGTCAATAAACATCAAGCAGCTACAATGTGCCAGGCACTGTGCTGAGCTCTGTGGATACAAAGAAAGGCAAAAGACAATTTTTGCCCTCAAGGAGCTTGTGTTCAAATGGGGAAATACAGCACACAAAAGAAAGCTGAAAAGTAGTGGGGTGGGAATGGAAGGTACCAAGGGCATTCAGGATTAGGGGCATAATGAAGAAGTTAGATGGTTGGTCTGGGTATTCTTCTCAAATGAACATCCTGGTAGAAGCTCTTCACCTTCTAATCAGAGGAAGGGACAGCAAGTGCAGAAATACTGGTGAGGTTTGAGTGACCTTTCAGGATGAAGAGGCTCCTGGAGCATTATGGAGAAGTTCAGCTGTATGGGAAATGGAGGAAGGAAGAGATCTCAGATACTATGTAGTTTATCATATACTTGAATAAGACTCCTTTCTACAAAAGACCAAATATATAGCTCATCAGCTTTGGTTTGGATGACAGTGATGAGATCTGCACTTGACCAAAAAAATCCCCTCACTTGTTGACAAAAAAATTAAATTATTAACATAAATTATATTATACTTAATATAACATAAAATATAAATAAAAACAAATATATTTTTTATATTGTGATGGCTCACCATCACAACCACCCTCCTCTGGGTACTCTCTAGCTTATCAGTAGCTCCTGAGGTCAGAGCTGGGAGCCCTTATCTCCCTGTAGGCATCTAGGCTAGTCACATGGCATGAAGTGTCTAGGTACAGTCAGAAGTTTTCTTATTTTCTTGGATTGTAGCCATTTGCACTCCACTCCCCACACAAAAACTTGGGAAATGTGTGCATGATATCCCTGAAGAAGACAGGGAAGTTTGGGAAGACTTCAGGTAGAAAGATAGGTTATACAGTTTATAGGTTTCCCTTCCACTCCCTTCCAATTGAGGAATAAAAAAAAATAAAACAAAACCTGGGTAACAAATGTGTATAGGCAAGCAAAACAAATCCCCACATTGGTTGTGTCCAAAAAATCTCATTCTGCATCTTAAGTTTATCACCTCTCTGTCATCTGCTTCATCATCGATCTTGTAGAATCATAACTGGTCATATTGATGAGAGTTCTTAACTTTTTCAAAATTGTTTTTCTTTACAATTTTCTTTATTGTTAATGAATAAATTGTTCTCCTGGTTTCACTTACATTACTCTGAAAAAGTTTATACAAATCTTCCCAAGTTTCTCTGAAGCCATCTCTTTGATCATTTCTTAAAGCATAGTGATATTCTATTGCATACCATAATTTGTTCATCCATTCTCCTAATAATGAACACCTCCTTAACTTCCAGTTCTTCATCACCAGAAGAAGAGATGTTATAAGTACTTTTGTATTGTGAGTCCTTTTCCTCTTTCCTTGTACTTTTGGGGTAGGTAGGTACTTTTTAGAACCTTGGATATCTAATACTGACTGCTATGGTCAAGACCACACCTTATGTGAAGTCTGATATGGAGGAATTGAGGTTAGAAAATCAAGGGTGGGCAGAACTAAAAGCAGAATGGAACTGGGAATGAGTCTTATTTGCTGTACTTTGCAACTTGAACGAGAACTTGTCTCACAAAGTGGTCAGGGGCAGACAGTTACAGGTAGGATTGGCCTCTTCCAGTGCATGGGTCAAACTACAGGAAATGGGCTGGGAATAGAGGTCAGGGTATGGAGAAGGCTGAAGGCAAAATGAAATGGGTGTTGCTTAGAATGCTCTGCCACCTGAATGAGTACTTATTTCAGTTAAAGGCTAAAAGATAACTGCAGCAAAATGTTGAACAAGGCTTGGAGGGATCCACAAATTGTACATAGGGAGATTCCAGAGAATACTGTTGTATGCTTACTGAGGTAAGCAGTGGGAAAAGGAAGAAGATGAAGGGATGGCCCTTTAAGCCAAGAGTCCTCTCGGAAGTCATCCTCAAGCTACCAAAGACCATCTCAGATTATTTACAGGCTAAAAGGTGGCTGGTGTGATTGTGGAACAGGCTTGGAAACTTGGTGCTCTAATCTCTGTGGGAAATGTTAGAGCTGGGAGCAAATTGGAGGGATCTTTGTAGCATCCAACCCTGGCTACTGAGCAGCTGCTTTCTGTCTGCTGGTTTTGCTCTAAGAATTATCAGTGGGGCTGGAGCTGGGAAAGGGGAACGATGCTGGACTTATCTAGAGAGGAAACCTGTTCCTTTATTTTTTTCTTACCAGGATCTCCTTCTAGGTCCAAGACACTGATGGGATGACAGATATGTATTGGCCATAACTGAAGAGATAATTTGTAGAACCATGATAGGAAATTCTCTAAAAGAACCGCCAATTGTTTCTGAAGCTCAATTGGTGCAAAAGTCTCCAACTAGTCAAAAAAGTGCCTTCTGTTATTTGTATTGCCTTGTATATGTAAAAGTCTACCCCCAACCCTAACCCAGGGAGCTGAAGACATCTTAGAGCTCCTTTTTGTTCATGGGGCAAACTGAAGAAGACAGGTAATTTGCAGGAGACTTTATATGGAAAATCAGGGTGAACAAAAAGTATCCTTTGGTTCTATTTATAGCAGTGATTGCTACCTGCCCCTGACCAGAGATACTGTCCACAACACTTGCTCAGCCAGGTAGCAACCTGAATTTGGCCAGGTGAATCTCCTTATTTGTATTTGCCCAGAGACCCACTGACTCTCTGGGGGTGGTCTGAATAAAAATAATTACTCTAATTAGACTCTTGGAAACTTCCATCTGGATCAACTTAGTGATGCCAGAAGGTTCCTGTATTTGCTGCAGTTTTGCAGGGTCATTAATGGGGCTTCATCCTGCTGCTGGAAATGTTAGCTTTTCCCCTACAATAAAAGTTCTTTTTGGTACTATGTTGTGGCTGTCAATGTACTCATGTTCCTATTATCTGAAACCAGGTGTTCCATGGGCTATAATCCCCCAGAATACTGAGACTAACTCCCCTTTCACATGTGTTCAGTTCATACTTGCTTGATTTAGCCTCATGGCTTGGGTTGAAGCAAAACTTGGGTTCAGGAATTCCTCAAAAATTTCTAGGAAGGTGATATAATTGAGAAGCTTATTATTATGTGGCAAAGCAAGCAGGCAAACAGAAACATACATGCATACCATATAACAACATAAACAGACAGAGGTTCATCCGTATTGGTGCAACAAATTTATTTAGTGTAAGGGGCAACAAATTTTTTTTAGTGTAAGTGCCAGGGGGTAAACACAGTTGGGGCTTAGGTGGCAAAATTATATACCTTAAGAATGGGCTTGGTTAACTTTATCTGTAATGGGGATAAGCTATAAACCTTCCCAATAAGATCAGAGATGAAACAAGCATCTTCATCATCACCACTATTATTCAATATTGTACTAGAAAAATTAACAATAAGAAAAGAAAAAGAAATTGAAGGAATTATAATAGGTAATGAGGAAACAAAACTATCACTCTTTGCAGATGACATGATGGTATACTTAGAAAATCCTAAAGAATCAACTAAAAAACTATTTGAAATCATTAACAATTTTAAATAAAATAAACCACGTAAGTCATCAGCATTTCTACATATTACCAACAAAGCCCAGCAGCAAGAGATAGAAAGAGAAATTCCATTTAAAATAACTGCAGACAGTATAAAATATTTGGGCATCTACTTGCCAAAACAAACCCAGTAACTATATTAACACAATTACAAAACATTTTTCACACAAATCAAGTCAGATCTAAACAACTGGAAAAATGTCAATTGCTCATGGGTAGGCTGAGCTAATATAACAAAAATGACAATGCTACCTAAATTAATTTACTTATTCAGTGCCATACCAATAAAACTACCAAAAAGTATTTTATAGAGCTACAAAAAATAATAAAATTTGTCTGGAAGAACAAAAGGTCAAGAATATCAAAGAAAGAAAAATGCAAAGGAAGGTGGTCTGGCCATATCAGATCTTAAACTATATTATAAAGCAGCAATCATCACAACTATTTGGTACTGGCTAAGAAATAGAGTGGTGGATCATTAGAATAGTAATACTACTAACAGTAGCAGATGATTATAGTAATCTACTGTTTGATAAACCCAATGGCCCCAACTTCTGGCATAAGAACTATTTGACAAAAACTGCTGGGAAAACTGGAAAATAGTATGGCAGAAACTAGGCATAGACCAACATCTCATACTGTATATCAACATAAGGTCAAAGTGGATACATGATTTAGACATAAAGGGTGATACCATAAGGCAATTAGGAGAACAAGGAATAATTTACCTGTTATATCTATGGAGAAAGGAAGACCTTATGACCAAAGATAGAGAACATTATGAAATGCAGGTTGGGTAATTTTGATTAAATTAAATTAAAAAGGGCTGTACAAACAAAACCAAAGCAACCAAGATTAGAAGGAAAGCAGAAAGATGAGAAGCAATTTTAACAGCAAGTGTTTCTGATAAAGTCCTCATTTCTCAAATATATAGAGAATTGAGTCAAATTTATAAGAATACAATTTATAAATGGCCAAAGGATGTAGACAGGCAGTTTTCAGATGAAGAAATTAAAACTATCTATAGTCATACAAAAATATTCTAAATCATTGTTGATTAGAGAAATGCAAATTAAAGCACTCTCAGGTATGACCTCACACTTATGAGAATAACTAATGTGACAGAAAAGTAAAATAATAAATGTTGCAGAGGATGTGGGAAAATTGGGAC